CAACTTGCTCGGAGAGACAGGAAGTCTTTGTAAAACGTACCTACTCCTGCGTACTCTATCAGAGTATTCAAGATAATTTCCAACATCCTCAGATGTTTCGCCGGTATCGTCAGTAAGAGGCGCCATCTTTGGGACTTATCAAAGGGCCAAGTAAAGGTAATCCTTTGACCAACTGTTGTGGCATTACTCCTCGTCCCAATTTTTTAGTTCTACTTTCTATTGCTGCATCTCTTTCTCTCAACCCTACTTTATATGGCCCATTTGCCTATTAACGCAATCCAATGTCGCCTAAGAGTGTAACGCTTTAAGTGAATTTAGTGAGGCAAAATAACCTTCACTACTAGTTTCAGATGCCGTTTGCAGGGTTCCTGGGTCATGACTTGTTAGTTGTTTCCTATAAAACATGAAAACCATCCCCTAACTCTAAAATCAGGCTTCCTATGAGCCTTCAAGTTAAGACCGGTGATTCCCATGCTTAAGCATCTTCCTTTCTGTAGGCTTCAGACTTATCACACACGTATCCCCTTTCTCGTTCCAGTCCATTCGCTTGCATTAGCGGTGGCCTTGTCTGACCTAATATGGAACAGCCGGTGTAAAGATGGATCACTTCTCTTCGCCACTCATGAATCGTGTAAGGCACACTTCTCTTGTCGCTCAAGTCGACAGCCCCCCTGGTCCTAAGGTTCCAGTCAGTTGTGCATTTGTACATTGGTTGGTAGCCTCCCTAGTCAGGCATGCGTACAGTTGCCTTTAACTAAAGGCACACACACGAAAAATGCAGACAAGTTTAGACGGAAACCAACTAATATTGTGCCTCCCAGCTCAATTTCTACACATTGCCTAGGCATGGACATCGCATGTCTTAATTTGAAAGCTCATAGGAAGCTAGATTTTAGACAGTCAGACAGTGATTTTCATGTGTGATAAACAGCAACTAACAGGCGGGGTAGAGGGGGCTAAATAAATCAGAAATCATGACAAAGAAGTCCTGCAAATGTCATCTGAAACCAGAGGTAAAGGTGAATTTGCTTCAGTAAATCCACTTGAAGCGACACTCTCTTAGACGGCATTGGAGAAAAAGAGAGCATAGAATTGTATGAATAGGTAAATTGGTCATATGAAGTAAGTTTGATAGAACGGGATAAAGCGCTGGAAGGTAGAATGTAAAAATTGAGCTTACGAGTGATGCCACAACGGATGAGTAAAAAATTGGTCAAGGGGATTGCCTTCACTTGGCACTTTGATACGTTGTAACGCTGTGCTAACGATGGCGCCTCTCACTGATGATGCTGGCGAATCGTCTGGGAATGCGGCAAGTCAATGGTCCAATGCTGGAACTTATCATGAACACTCTGGCAGAGGACGCAGGTCTAGGTACATTTCACAAGGTCTCTCTGTTGCTCCGAGCAAGTTGCGAAAACGAGATGAAACCAACACTATAAAGCTAAAGTAGACTGCGGCCAGACAAAAGACCACGCCATCTTTATTTTCACATCTACTTTAAAAATTAAGTTATGGTGGCTGTTAAATTAAAAGCAGAAAAACAGGTCTTTTTAATAATTAACATGGATTCTCTGTAGACTCATTTTAGTAACAGTGTGCGAATACAAAATGATGATAATGTGACTCCGTCTCGCTTAAGATTAAATTTAATAAATACGGATAAACTTCTCGTAGAGTTCCTAGTTTGGCTAGGCTAACTAAAGGATGGAGTCTCCTAGAAATGAGAATTAAATTTTAAAAGCAAAAAATTGAATATGTTAATCCCCAAAATTGTATTATCAATTATATCAATAAAAAGCAACTAACATTGAATTAAATGTTAAATAACTTGAGTGCTTATATCAATACTCAGGTACCTATAAGGTTTTTAGACATAATAGGTAAATTTTTACTTTTGAATAGTTCTAGCTATAAAAATTTACATATTAAGAGACTAAGGTAACATATAATCTTGAAGGTAAAAGTGTAAGAAAATCTTTCAAAAAACAGTGGCACTTGTAATAACAAACAAATAAAATCGAATTAAATTTATGTGATGAAATGTACTCAAAGAGACTTCGTTTACCGGCAGTAAAACAAAATTAAATAGGAAGAAAAGAGACAATTTATTAAATATCTAGATATATCCCAAATGATAAAACCAAAGCTAGTTAAAAGCCTGCTTGCCTTGCTGTGGAACAAGCTCCGGTACATCGGTTCGAAGGTTATCCAATATTCTATCGATATTAATCTTCAAATAGAAATAACGGCTGTTTATGGTTTTTTTAAATTAATATTATATGAAGTGCCTTTTTTACAAAGCATTGTTATATTGTGTAAATTAATATTTAAACTATAAAATTAATAGAAATGGTTAAAGCTCTTGGTGTAACTACTTTGTAAATGATTTTGTCAACCAATATTTAATAGTCATATTTGAGTAAGGTTTCGAAACTACCAGTAAATCAGTGTAATGATTTACAATATTCAATGGCGAAGTCCTTCTAACAACCGCACACGTATGGCATCACATCAAGATTGGATGAAAATATGAAGTGTTAGAGTAACAGGAGAGAAAAATGGAATCAAGTATGATTATTGAATATCTAAACTAAATTACTAATAATAATGATTTTTCAAAAGTTTTTTAGCATATATGACATCTTATAGGTTCTAAATTTACTGTCCATTATTAACATTTTTGGGTTCAAATCTATAAGAAATTACTTTCTTCTGAAATGTGATACGAACTTTATTCATATAACTAAAAAAGACATTTAAGGGATAAATAAATATAGATTAACAAAATAATATTAATTTTTGTACTCTGAATATTTCGGGCACATATTCCTCCTGATCCTAAAAATTAAATATATATTTATGAATCGATGATTTATTTAATTTATATGTGTAAATATGCTTATAATAATAAACCTTCATCGGTTCTTGAGCAAGATATGCTGTAAGCTTGTTCATCTGGGTAAGAAGATCTAATAATTTCTTTTCATCACTCTCGTTTGCCTCATATAGATCTAAATTTGCGGGTTCCATATCGAGAATACGTTTTTCAAAAGAGCGAAATACGCGTAGTCTTATATTATGAGTTATATTTAAAATTCTGCTTTTTACGATGTGGCCTAACATTGATTTATCGTAAGGATCATTTAACTTTGCTTGTTTGGCTCCACTGTATTCATGAGTCTCAATTTCACTAGAAGTCTTAGCGCGTAGATGTGACTCATATCTTTGTTCTCTGAATAGTAAATCGCGAAATAAGCTCATAAGACCTTTGTGATTTGTCTATTAAAAATAAGTAGTAAAACGACTTACTTCTATT